TCTCTCTCTCTCTCTCTCTCTCTCTCTCTCTCTCTCTCTCTCTCTCTGGGTCATTAAGACAAATGTAGTTGCCTTTTTGTTTGTCAAATTTAATGTGAGCTTTTATATTTCCATATTGAATTACAGCTATCAAGTATCAGTTTATAAATGGTGGCAGATTGCAAAATTCTGTTTGCTAAATGATCTTTGCTTTCATACACGGGGATAAAGTTTATCCAAGCAGCTGTTCAGCATTGCACTTACAGCAGTTTCCAGGCCCTGCTTTTCATAGGATCCCTGGAAATCACCCTGTTATTACAGCCTTATTAGGTAGCCAGGCATGAACATCCTTTCTAACAACGGAGGTTCTGGAGGGGTAGGAGGCTTCCTCGAACTGTGCAGTGAGGGATCCAGCCCATACAGAGCATGTGGGGCTTTGCATGGTTGCATAGCATCCTGCTATGTCTAAGTATCACGATGTCTTTGTGCATTCATCTCATGGATGGGATCTTTGGCTGGTGTGCTCTCTCTTAGTCACCATAAGCCGGGCTATATTAAACAGAGTGCCTGTGTCTCTTAAATTCACTGGCTTCATTGATTTTGTTAATATATCCACCGCCGCATCCTCTTCAGTCACTCATGCAGTTATGGATCCCACTGCACACTGTTTTTGCCGTGCCTGCTGGCATTAGGATGCTATGCAGTGACACAGTGACGTGCGCAGCCTTGGCAGCTTGCACAGCCTTGGCATTCCTGCAGCAGAAGGAGCTACTGGAAGTCAAGGGACATCTTTATTGCCACAAAATGTAAAATGATAAAAGGATAGATTTAGTGTTTTAAGTTAGGTAGCATTTCTGCCTTTACAACCTCCTCCCTGGAAGACAGACCAAATCAGTTCTCAGAACCTATCCTAAGCTGTAGGTCTGAGGAATCTCTGATCTGACATCTGGGTGGGAAGAGTCTTGAGAGTCTTGCTGACTTCTCTCATGATAGTCACATGACTTGATTCTGCATCCTAGTGGCCAGTCACGTGCCTCTTGACATGAACAGTTGTGACTGGCTAAGTTTAGAGATGGCACTGGATGGAATGGATTTTGTGTGGTCTTATGCAGAGTTGGAAGAGCAGAAGCCATAAAACACATAGGTCTCATTTAGCTGTCTGCATCAAAGGTAATGGAGAATTTAGGCTCAGGCCAGCTCTGTAGGATAAAGTCCCTGCCTCCCAAGAACCTCACAGCACAGAAGGAAAAAAAATGAAAGCTACACACTTGGTTCAGTCATCACACCCAAAGCCAGAGGGGAAAAATACAAAATAAAGATGAGTGTAAGTGAGTCTCTACTTCCACTCAGAAGCTTGGGCACGATGTGTCATCTCTTTCCAGTCATCAGCAGGCCAGAAGATACCCCTCTCAATCAAGACCACAGGCTGTCACAACCAGCCAGTCTCTCACCTCCAGACTTGGGAGCATTAGCAGTCGTCAGACTCGAATATTAATGGTACTTCTGTCTGTTGCTCGTGCAGATCTTGCTGGGTCAGAAATACAACCATTCCGTTGACTGGTGGTCCTTCGGGGTCCTCCTTTACGAGATGCTGATTGGCCAGTCGCCTTTCCACGGCCAGGATGAAGAGGAGCTTTTCCACTCCATCCGCATGGACAATCCCTTTTACCCACGATGGCTGGAAAAGGAGGCCAAGGATCTTTTAGTGAAGGTAAGAAATGAAAGCCAAAGCCTGGGGTAGTGCCTAAGAGGGTGACTGCGTCAAGTGCGCAAGACCCTGAGTTTGACTCCTAGCTTTGAAAAGGAAAAAAAGAAAAAGAAACAGGAAAAAAATGGTGCTAAGAGAGGATTCATAAAAATCAGTACTAGGTTCTGCTCAGTAGTCCCATTTGTTCCCAGGTCCTGAGACATGACGGAACACCACAGCATGTAGTGAAGGGTTTAAAGGGATGCTGCTGTCTGTGTTTCAGCTGAAAGGCTGGTGCTACGGGCTCTGGTATCAAAGTCAGGGGATCAAGACAGGGGTAGGGGGGGAAGACCCATGTCTCATGTTGCTTCTTATAGGCAGAGTCTAGATTGTGTGTGTGTGTGTGTGTGTGTGTGTGTGTGTGTGTGTGTGTGTGTAAAAATAAAAGGAAACTATTGGAAGGGAGGAAAGAACCAGCCAGAAAGGGAAGAATGAAAAAAGAAGGATATTGGGGGCACAAATGTCATATATGTCTGAAAATGTCACAATGAAATCCATTATTTTGTATACTAATTAAAATAATGAGAAAATTTAGCTTTGAAAATTAAAACAGCCATAATTGAAAAACAAAACAACAAAAACCAAATATGTATAGGCAAGCATGGTGGCTTACAAGGTAAGCGAATCAGGAGTTCAAGGTAGCCAGACCAGGCTATATGATTACATGAGACCCTGTTTTAAAAAAAGAGGGGGAGGGTGGATGAGGGGAAAGAAGAGGAAGAAGGGAAAGTAAAATAAATCTTCTTTTCACCATTTATAAAAGAAATCCCAAAAAGCCTTGGTGGCCCTGGGTGGAGGAAGCCTTGGTGGCCCTGGGTGG